TCTCTCTCTCTCTCTCTCTCTCTCTCTCTCTGACTACATTTCTCCTGTGATATTTGCAACAAACAATCGAACACAGAAATACACGAACACACAAACACACACACAAAAACCCCCCAACGACTGCTAGGTCATCAACCAACATAAAATTTGCCTGGTAAATCAGAGGCTGTTTTCTGAGTCATATTGTCTTCAACGTCACTACATTCCAGTGTTACGTCCTGTTTGAGTTTATATCTTTTTATCCCCCCCCCCCATACCCCCGAATTCATGCCGTGTTGGATCGTCATGTCATATATTTGGTTTGCTGTGTATGTCTATCACAGTATTGTTTCAGCAGGGCGTATTGAATTTATCGTAAATATGGCGGTTCATAATATAATCAGTACATTGCTTGTTGATCATTTATTTTACTATTTTGTTTTTAATGTATAAGATTATGCTTGCTTACATGCTATTATGCTCTAAATAGCGCCTTTGGTTGGCAGTATGTGTGAAGTTGCCAGTCGGTTTCATATTTTGCTCAGTGTTTGGATCCGATGGCAAAGGTCAGAATTCCCCCCGGGGTCAGTGCCACTGACTGAAGTGTCTTTAGGCCATTCCCAAAGGGGGGACATTTCTCGTTCAAGCATAGTAGAATTGTACATGGGCTGACTCATGTCACGCTCGTAACTGTGCCTGATCTACAGATCAGGGAACTGCTGCTTATTCTCTCCGGATCCTTACTATGGTTATTTTCCTCAGCTGCGAGCGCCGTAAAACCCTCTAGTAAAACTTTAAAAAGGTCAGAATTTGGACCAAACGCTCTATGGATTGAGGACATAACGCCTTCATGAGAACAAGAACATTCAGTGCCCATCTTTCCTTCCATTTTGGTCATTATTGCTGAAGGAGGACAATCACACAGCACCAGCCAGACGGAAGGACGTATCACGTCATCGCCCTGGTGTAGGAAATGTAGTCACTACTTCTTAGTCATCATGACATGTTTGATTTGAAACAGACGTTGGTGATCATAGTTCTTCATTCATTTCTTCTGTGTGTGTGTGTGTGTGTGTGTGTGTGTGTGTGTGTGTGTGTGTGTGTGT